TCTCCTCCCACTTAGTCAACTCTTCCCCACCAATTGCCCCCATTTCTCACCCTCCCTCTTTTTTTTCACAAACCCACCTCCATTAATCCAAAAACTTAATAACCCATTATTCAAATAATTAGCACCATTTCACTCACTCTATTGCCTGCTTTCCAATCATGGAAGACAGTTAAGATGTTAACACAAGGTTGCTGGGCTAGCCTTAATAAACATATCTGAACTTCCCATAATCAAATTTTAATCAGTGGCGGTGTGACAGAAGGGCTACATTGATACTCGGGTTGAAGCCCAAGAAATTTTGTAATTGAAACCAAGTGAATTCAAGGGAAGTCAGAGGGTCAAACTGTAATTCACCCAAAATTAAATAAGACTCTTTCTCTCCCCCCACTATCAGTGTAAACAGGGTTTATGGCAAGGACAATGACTTCAAACAGTATACAAATTTTGTTTATGCACTTTGAAAATGGCCCAGCTTGCTTTCTTCTAAACTTTACTCTACAGTCCCAGAAGCACTCAATAAAGGTCCAAAGTAGTAAGAATGGCAAAGCATATTTGGAAACCAGGAATCATGTAAAAGGGAGATTTAGTATTAAATGAAATCAGTAACTCAAATGTAATCAAACCCAAATTTCTTACAAATTTTTCAATCGAATCTCAATAACATCTACATTCAAATCATCAAGCACAGGGCTTTAACAAAGATACAAAAAAACCCAATTTTTTTTATAAAAAAACATACAAGGGAAAGGGAAAAAAGCAGAGATAATCAACAGAGAACCAAACATTTGTGTGTGTGTACCTATCTATCAATGAGAAGAGAGTACAGAGAGAGATACCCAGATGGAATAGGATCAAACCCTGAAGAATAAAGAAATAATAGAAGCAAATAGGAGAAAGAGAAAAGAGCTCACATTCACCAGAAGAAGCAGTAAAGACTGATAAAAGAAGAAGAAGCAGCAATAGACCCATTGATTTTTAGACTTTCTTCTTAGCTCCAAACTTTCAATCTTCGAAAACCATAGAAACCCACTGATGTGAAATCTCAAAGAAACGAAAAAACGAATCTGTGATGGTTTATCACAATCTCATTAGATTGAGAAAATACTTGACAAATTCAGCAAAGATGATGATCATCTTGCTAGAACACTTGTAGATGTTAATTTGTATCTTTCTAAGAATGTACAGGGAAGTATTTCTCAATTAGCTTATGCCCAAATTATTGGAAGCTTAATGTACTTGATGAACTGCACTCGCCCAGATATAGCTTATGCAGTAAGTAAATTAAGTAGATATACGAGTAATCCGGGAGTAGAACACTGGAAAGCAATTATAAGGGTTCTAAGATATCTTCGATTTACTCGTAACATAGGGCTGAATTATACTAGATATCCAGCAGTACTTGAAGGATACTGTGATGCTTGAAGGATACTGTGATGCAAATTGGATATCGGATACTAAAGACTCG